TTCATACTGACAAGTATAATTAGACTTCAAAAAATATTTGACAGTAATAGCTCAAAGAGAGGCGCAATTTCTCGAGAGCATTTTCGTATAATCGATCAATCTGAATATCCCAGTTCTAATGATGGTTCGTTCTTTATGTGAAGTAAAATTATTCTTAAATGTTTACTAAAACATTTATAGTTTAACTCTGTGCTATCATAAATTGACAAATTATAATTTTTAAAACTCGTTTCCGACATAAATTAAAAAGAATGCTTTCACACTATAATTGCTTTACTTACTCGTCCAACTTCACATGTTAAATAAATTTTTCAGTAACTTGTCAGGTTGATCTGTTTGATCACAAGTCAGGTCCAGCGATCGTCATCCATTGGTAACGATCGGAATGATTGCATGTTCTACTAAACGATGATTATGTAAGGTTCGTTTGTGTTGTAACAATACGTTTATCGGGCGTTTATAGACTACAAATAGCGGGTCCGTTACAGAATTTAAATCACCATCAACAGAAATCCAACTGTCATCTAAATAACAGCCAAGATTATCAAAAGGCCATTTGCCATTACAACTGAAAGAACTCATTTGCCATCCGTGTTCCATTTCTTGAGGAAAACAAAACGAAAAGTGAAGATCCTTCAAAGCAGGTAAATATGTAGAACTACAAAATTCCTGAAATTTGCCAACATGATCCAGTGCTGCAAGAAAGAATAAACAACAGAATTAATAGTAAGGTAAACATATTCGAAAGAAAATAGATCAGATATTCTTTAGATATTGTAAATTATGAAAAGAATGACTATATTCAGAACTATTAATAGATTGACGATAAAATAGCTTAGCAACTATTTCATAATAAACTTTTATGTCTTAACTTTATTTAATGATTCTATCTACTATCATAAGAAATCAATGAAGGGATGATAACTTACTACGATCATACAAATCAACAAATATCAATTTTTCAAGTAAAGGCATAGTTAACGAGTCCATCAGTATAACAGCATCCTTAAGATTGATATAACGAAGGACTAAAGATCGTAATCGAGTACCATCAGCTACTTTGCGTAGCTCATGTTCACAAAGTTGAATATTGGATATTGGTTTATATCGATATAGTGGTAGAGCAGTACGCATTTCCTCATTAGTTACATTTAAGTGCTCGGTTGCAGGTAGAGCGCCACGTTTTAAAAGAAGAGTAAGTTCACTAGGTTGTTGAATACTTAATGTTAGTTGAACTGTATTTGGCCAATATAAAGGTTGCATATTATGTAAAACTTCTATTACTCCGCTTGGATAATGATTATGACCTGCAAACAAAATTAATATATAATAGTAATAATACCGAACTAAAAAGGCTATTTCAAGTCGTACATTCTAAATTAAAAACGTTTTCCATGTTTCAGTATTTGATAAACAACATTTTTATCATAAGAAGGACAGTCAATTATACTAATGAAATGAAACTTTGACCACTGATTCAGTATTGAAATAGGGCAGCATTTGTGTCTCTCAATTATCTACTACTACGTATATACAGAAAAGAGTAAATTGCAAGGGGGAAACAGCGTACCTCTATACTTCTGAAGTACAGAAGTACGAAGAAGTACCTAGAAGTACCAAGAAGTCCCGAGAAGTACCTAGGAGTCCGAAGAAGTATGAAGAAGCACGGATATATGCCACAAAATACCAAGTAATAATTAGTGTGGGTGTGGGTGAAGAAGAGACCCAGATCCAGATCCAGATCCACACCCACACCCACATCCATTGCCACACCCATACCCACATCCACACCCACACCCACACTCTGATAGGACGAGAGGAAAGAACGAGTAGATAGAATGGTAGCCGTCTTGAGATAGTCATTCATATCCTGAAGAATATTCGAAACGCGTCGCTTATTACAATTTTTTACTGTTATTTATTTATTTATTGTTAAAATTAGATAAAATTACACTAAAAATTTTAAAAATATTCTATTAAAATTCATTGAAAAACAAGTTTGCTCTCGTCTAAACCTAAAAAATAGCTATGTTCTCACCAAAAATAGTTCACTTTTTACTCAACTCCTAAAACAAGCTCATTTTCTCTCATATCTTAAAACAAGCTCATTTTTCTTTAAATCTAAATATTTAAAAAACACAAACATTTATTACTTTTTCTTCTAAAAAGCACATTTTTTCATTAAACAATTTCATATTTTCTTTGCTCACACAAAACATAGTTATTTATTTATTTATTAAACTTTCTGCTCTTTCCACTAAAACACACAAACTAAGGTCAATTTTTCTCATTAAAAACAAGTATTAGAACTTTGCTCAAGTTTTCTTCTTAAAATTTACTCTAAGTCATTATTTTCTCTAACTTCACCAAAATTTGCGTTTTTTGACTTGAAATTCGTTCAAGTTCATTTATTTTTTCTTAAAAGGTTCAAAAAAGTTCAAAAGTTAATTATCTTATTTTCAAATATTAAACGAAACAAAAAACATTTAAAAAGAACTAAAAATTATACAAAAAAACTAAATTTAAACTTAAAACTAAAACCAAAACAGAATTTATTTATTTTTGCTTTTTTCTAAAGAATCCATGATCAATTTTTCATATTTATTTATTAAAATATATTTATTTCTTTATTTATATACGTATCTGCCATCTAGTATACATACTTCCATTGTTAATTCGATCATTTTCTTAAATCACACCCACACCCACACCCAATTGTATATATCTATATAATAATTTACTTAGATGAAAATTAAACTTGCCTCTCAACGAATTCTACCATGATACCTGACCATAAAGGAAGATAAGCAAACCATTTATAAAACAGCTGTACAATCTTGGTTGCAAAAAGTGGATTAGTTGGTTTTATCTCCAAAGGTTCTTTATGAATCAGTTCTTTGAGACTTGGTATTCGATCACATGCTTTGACATTAAACGGCGATTGGTGAATTATTGCATCGGTCGTAATATCGATCTCATCGAGAAAATGTGGTGTATCATCATCGTTTTCATAATCATCTAAGTATTGTTCTACAGGAAATTCATAATCATTTGATTTACTTAAAAGTGAAGATAATATTTGTGCCGATTGTCCATTATAAGGATCGACATAAACATTCATGATTTCTTCAAACAAATCGAATGTACCATCCGCATTGTGACACTTTAATAGCACAGCAAATAATGTCATTATTTGGCAACGTGCGTCTTTTGCTTTTTCTAGTTTATGGAGACTTCTGGAAAATGCCTTCATTACGTGTGCATAGCAAAGTCGCACAAATGTCATGTTACGTAATTGAGATGAGTCATATGCAAAATTCAGAGTATTAAAGCAACGACGAAGATGATGTTTAATAACCAGGACGATGTTTCCGGCCTCCGGAAATGAGTGGATTTAATTGGAACCGGTCAGAAACAGGCAGGAAACGCACCGGAACGTGCAGGAAAATGCCGGATATCGCCGGACCCTGGAAGCAGTATTCCGGGACGGATTTCTCCGGATTTTCCCGGTGATTTCCGATGATTTCCGGCGGGAACCAACCGGAACTTGGCGTAATTTACAGGAAAAATCTGGAGATTTCCTGGTCCGGAATACTGCTTCCGTGAAATCGCGGGAATGCGCGGGAACCGGCCGTTTCCCGGGCCGGTTGCTTTGACCTGGGTACTCTCGGTGTTGAACGAACTGAGTACACTATTTAATTTAACTGGAGAGAAATCAATAACCGCAAAAGATGGACGTGCTGTTTTGGAACGTAGCTCAAGTTTACTGCGTACACAATTGAAGTATGAAGTGATGGAAGCAACTGTGTGGTCACAAAGAGGAGCCCCATCAAGTGGTAACGTATTGGAAGGATCTTCTCCAGCTTTGAAAACCATCGAGTAAAAGTATATAGGGTTTTGGTCCATGAGCTTTTTAATAACAGAGCCAGTCGTATCAATATGTAAATAAGAGTAGCTTTCGGTTTTGCAATACTTGGCAAAATGGTCGAGTTGTGGTTCAGTGTAAAAGTGCACTGTGAAGGGTCATTCTCCAGTTGTTTGCACAAAGCCTATATAAAACTCGTAAAAATTATCTTGTATATTGAAATCCAATTTCTTGTAGGGATTTCCGAGAAGCGCTCTGCATCATAGATGGAACCGGTACCGGGAACGATCCGATCCGGTCCGAACTTTAGACCGGCTGATATGCCGATCTGAAACCGGTCTACCAGTCTGAATCCAGTCTAGCGGTTTATAATGGCTTTTTTTTCGTCATCCACCATCGAAGGTAATTTACTCCCAACATGGATAAGTTTAGTCTTTTCTGCTAAAAGAAAAGCTTTGGAAGGAAAAATAGAATACCATGGAATTTGACTAAACGTAATTTGGGTCGATGAATCCAAAAGAAATACGAGACATCATTTTCATCAAGTATATCGATTTTTCTATCTCAAAATAGTTGTTATTAAAAGTAAGCCATGTGAAATACATTCCATACTAGGAAAGTAATTTTTTCCATAGAGCATCGATGAAATTCGAAACGAAATATGCAATATTCATTTTTTTAAACAATGATAGTTTTCTTTCTCTGCTAATCTCTTCTTATAGCTGACCGAATAGGAAACATGACTATTCACAAACAATATCGATTATTTTATGCAAAATACTTCATATCAAAACAGAATAATCAAAATATATATGTCGTTATCGAAAATCAATTTTTCATGCAGACATCATAGTATGTGAAAAGAAAATATGAATAACCCAGTTCTACGAAGAATATCACATTTTTCGTAATATAATTATTCATACAAAAGGGTGTGGGTGTAGGCGTGGCTATCGATCTTCTGTTCACTGAGGTCCACACTCACACCCACACCTCAAAAAATGAGCTGAAGGACTTCATACATAGATACCTACTCCCTCCTTGATAGTTATGACCTTTACACTGAAACATATATTCATTCCATGCATATTTACAACTCAATATCTATGAGCTGTTGAAAAGACTCCCGATTTATTCGTGCACGTTTTTCTTTTCTTTTTTATTTAAACTTACCTTTATTTTCCTTCCTACATATTCACTATACGTTCCTCTTCATGTTTCAATTCATGTTTCTCCTCGATTTTCTCTTCTACCTATTTTTGCATCTTTTCATTATCGTTGTGACATACACATGTTTATTTCGTCACAACCTTTATATTATATTATTATGCTTTCATTCTCATGTATGTGCTTGAAAATGTCTTCCTCTCCTCTTCATTAAATATAACTCTTTAAGACGCTATATGATGTCAACATAACTGCCTTCATCACTTTCTCTTTTTTTCCTCTTATTTTCATAACCTTCTCGCTGATATGTTAACCCTACCATTTGGGAACAATAAACTTGATAGAATAGAATAGGGTCATGATATGTGAGCTAGTTATTCACTCTATTTCAGTTCAAGGTAAAGGTTTTCTAACATCTCACTCCATTTCTTTGAGACATTACCATACCGAAGGTTTGTTAGATTCTTCAACATTTGGCAAACTTTTTCATCGAAATACTTTGAGTCAATTGAAGAATTTCTACGTTTTCAAGGACATTATATTTCCGAAAAAATAATCCGACACACTGAAAAACCTTTGAACAGAGAAATAGGCTATCTCACACTTCGACTTTGAGAAAATTCACAACTTACTGTACATTTAACAATAATTCTATTGATTCGGAAGCTTCAAGTAGGAAAAGCAGTGTATTTTCTTTCACTCTAACCGAGATATACATATTGATTAAAACTGTGCTATAAATGTCCTGTCTGAAGATTTTTCAACAAAAACTCCGAAATTTACGCACTCGTTGTCTTGTAATGTATGTTGTACTTTTGCGCAAGCTGAAAACCTAATAATTACATGACACAACTTATACTATTAATTTCTTCATACCTATAAATTAAGATGTTTTCAAAAAACAAATATCGTTTGCTTAGTGGAACAATCATCTCGTTTTACACTATTTTTCTTCTCAAAAACGAAAGTATTATCCATTAGAGTTGACAGATGCAGCGTTCTTCTTATAGTGAATCCATGAGAAAAAGACAGCGATCCAATTCGCATAGCAGCAGCTAGCCGTTCGCCGGAGCCACTCATCACTACCCGCTGCTACAATCTACTAAACTCTTCGAAAGGGATATCATTGCCTATTTACAGTGGGTTCAATGGTATGGACGAATGCAGGAAGGCATTGCCGGTCAAGTCAGATGAAACTTTGAAGGTTATCGCTGGTTATTCTCACGTTAGTTTTAGATAATTTCAAGAGGCGGTCTCCAATTAAGAGAGAACGGTTGAGTACGTATCACGCATCGTCAAAAATATTTATGGCGAACTAACTCTGATTCCATGGAGAATACAAATATATCAGATAGGGGATATAACGTATGTGGTAGCATGCATTCATTACTAGCGTCTGTAGCAGTAAAAATATACCATACACTCATAAATATGGACTATAATGATAAAAACGACAGATTTTGAAGATTAATTAGATACCAAATCCTAATTATAATGATATCTAATTAGTGAAACTAGATTTTAATTACTGATACTTAGTATGAGTAGTGGTGAACAGAGGTAGTTGATCTGTATCAAAGTTTTATCTAACTAGTGCACCTAAGTGTTACTTTTTTTTCATATTTTATGTCTGTAATGGCGAGGGGGTACAGGGGAGCCGCCAAAACCTTGCACTTCAACTTACACTCACTATTTTCTTCGAAAATATATGTGAGTTTCACAAAACAGGAATGTAAGAATCGATCTCATGTAATTCAGCAGCGTTGATTGTTAACCAACGGCCGGTAACACTCTGTCAAAACTCTAAAGAATGGTGTTCACTATAGAGAGAGGTTCAGTTCTAGCCAAAATCACAACACGGGAATGGGGAAAACCGTCCACTGTACGGAGGTGTCCACTATGGAAAGTTTTACTGTGGTAGTTTTACCGGGTCATTTTCAAAAGAGATACTTTTTAGTAAAGATTTCCTGTATTTTGGTGAGTACAGCTATTAGAAATATTTTATGATTATCTAATCATTCCACGGTTACTTGAAGTTTTCTGTGAGTACTTAGGACTTCGTGTAAAAGAACAAAATTCAAATATTCATGATTCGAATCACGTTCTAATGATTAAATCTGATTAAAGGGCCTGTTAAAAAAAGTGAAAAAAAAATTCATAATTCCAATTTTTATTTTTGTTTTTGAAAAAGAAAATCGTTTTTTTATTAATCTAAATCAAAAAAAGGGGTTAGCAAAAACAAATTTAAAGTATTCATAATTCAAGCGGTATTATAGTTTTATTAGAATCTATTAAATTAAGCGAAGAGAAAATATTAGATATTTGATGCTGGGTGTTGCAATCACTTTTAATCTAGACGACATTAGATACTTGATTCTAATCTTGTGGTTAGCTTCAATAGAGATGGTAGATAAATATATGATATCTGGTTTTCTGATTACTTGCAATAGAAACAGTACGTAAATGTTTCCTATTCGTTTTTAGCTGAATTTGAAATGATACACAAAGATAGATATCTGATATCTGTTATCTTATGATAGTTTGAAATTACAGGTAGGAAGTAAATATCTGATATCTGCTGAGAATTTGAAATTATAGGATACTAGATTCTAATGGAATTCGCTAAAATTTTTATCGATTTCAGATTTGCAGAATTTTTCAAACTTTTGCGCTTTGAAAATTTGAAATTGAGAAAATTTTGACACGCTTATTCTAAAATTAGTAACAGTTTAAGATTTGGCACTGTATGATAATAAACAACATCAAGACATTGTCGATACTGGATCTGTAGTCACCATTATTAATCAACAATTATTAGAAACGATTTATCACACGGAATTTGTTTACAAAAAGAAATTACACAAATCAGCTAATTGTACGTCTACTAATATTATTGGTGAAATTCAACTTGAAGTTAAAATACAAGGACATAAAACTTTAATTATACCGGATGTTGCAATGAATCTTATTACTGATTTATTACTTGGAAACGACTGAATTATGCAAAACAATGTTATTATTGATTCATTACAACGGCATATTACTCTTATTGATAAGAACCGCCGCGAATTAGCAACAGCTCCATTCGTTCAACCTTAAAATATTCAATTTAGCGCAACTAATCGTCAATGAACACTATCAAAGAATACTCAATTGGGACATATTTCATAGCAGGCTGAATTAAATAATCATATTATTTTACCGGTGTTACCAGAAGATGCCAATTATCAACAAACACGTTTTAAATCATTTATTTATAAGAGGAACAACACTCGCAAGAGTGGTTTCTGTGATTCGTTAGTCCATGAAAAGAGAAAGGTCCGATTTACGGACTTTACCTGTGAAACAGAACGTCGTGAAGAACAACAACATCAATGTTATGATTGCCAAGAACAATTTTTATCACGCAAAAATTTACAACAGCATTTGCATCAGAAATGTTATCCATCAGAAGCTTCATTAGAAAATGATACTATAAATATTTTAGATGAAGAAACATTGAATTATAATGATAGAGAAGAGGGTCATGTACGAGATGAAGCTTCAAATGAAATTGAAAACGTATCTGATGATGGCATTCAACAAGATACAATGAACGATCAAAATCAACAATATATAAATCATAAACCATTAACAAGAAATCAACGACAAAACCGCAAACATAGAGCTCAAAGATATCGATATAAAATCATGCGAAAAATTTAACGTAAATTTGCCATTACAGGTATTTGAAAAATCTTAATATTTATGGATATTCCTTACGTGAACATCAATGTCGTCGGAAGCACGTTATTCTTGGGTGTAAAGAACGAACGAATGCAAAACAGCGTTGACGAAACATTACACAATGGCATATTTACGGAAAAACATTATTATAATATGCGCAAGAAATTACGTCCAGACATGGGCAGCGAACCCACTAGGCTTGGGGAGGCTCAAGCCTCTCCTAAAAAACGGACAAAAAGGCTTAGGGAGGCTCATTTAATTTGAAAAAAAGTTGTAGATCTCATCTTTAATGTAGACACGATTGGCAAAATTTCGATCGATTGTTCTTTAATACTTAATCTATTGTTCATGAAGATTAACAAAATGATAAAAAAAACTGCTAAAAAAAGGCAAATACGACGCAGAATCTTGGTTGGTGACAAGTATCGCATGAATTTTTAAAATGTATGTTAGGGTGATCAGTAGAAAATGTTGTTTTGGTTGTATTTAGTGGTTTTTAATCTTTGCTATTGTTTGTTCTACTCTCCTGAAATTTGCTTTAGAATTTTTGTGTTCTTATTGATCATTTTCTGAAAAATAAATATTACAGTAACATTTTTCATTATTTTACAAGTTTTGAGAAAAGTAGAATCAGAAGTAAATTATCAACAGACCACCTATTAGTACCAGATTTTTTTTGTTTTTAATTTCAACTCTCATCATCCTGATCCTCCGAAAAAAATTTCGAGCCTCCTAGATTGAAATCGTTCCGCCGCCGTTGCGACCAGATAAATAAAGAAATTAGCTTTTTAAAATGTAGGTCAAATTTTTCTTTAATCGTCGGTCTTTGTTTTGTTCTCTTTCATCTTCTTTTGTTTCTTGATAAACAGTCAGATTTATTAGTTGAAAAATCTCTTTTGCTTTTCTCTTTTGCTTGTTCGTCGTTGTTGTTGCTTTTTTTATGGAAGATGTATAGCTTATCGTCATATTTTTGTTAACATGTTTGCTTGTTTTTCTGAACCATGTGTGCGGACACACATTTTCTCAAGGGAGTCGACTGTTACGGGCATACCCTCACATATTATCATGTCATTCCTTTTCTTCTCATATCTAGTCACCTGTAACATCTATCGATATATATTTATATATATTGTCTTCTTGACGGAGGAGAGAGAGATTTATATTATGTGTGGATACAACATGTTGTGTGCTGTGGAGTTATCGATTTTAGTAATAAACGAAGGGAGAACATCAACCCCTAATAGACGTAAAGGAGAATTTGCCTACTCTCGCGTATACGATGTGCTGCCAATCACGTGATATGCTAACCCGCTCTAAATGAGAATTTAAACAAAGTTATACACTCTAAAAAAAATCGGTACTCTACCGAACCTTAATAGTTCCGCATTTCTCCACCGAACGATTTTAAGTTCCGTGGAGTGAAAAACGTTCTGTGGTCTCCTTTCAGAACTATTTTAAGTTCAGCAGAATTCATCAGGTTTCGCAATTTTGCGCCTGAACTGTTCGAAGGTTCCGTAAAGTGGTTTGTGGTTTCGTACGTCATGTACAAATCCTCTGATAGTTTTGTGAAATGGCAGAAGGTTTCGCCATATACCCACAGAACCATTGATGGTTCCCTACACTGTCAAAAGGTTTCGTATTATTTATGCGGAACTTATCGACACTTGGTAGTCACCTTTCACGTTTCGTAATATGCCCACGGAATCATTGATGGTTCCCTAAACTGTCAAAAGGTTTCTTATTATTCATGCAGAACTTATCCACACTATCTGATGTACTTTAAGGTTTCGTAATATGACCACGTAACCATTGATGGTTCCCTAAACTGTCAAAAGGTTTGGAATATTTTCTTCAAAAAAATTGCTGGTTTCGTGGAACATTTGAGGGCTTCGTACTTTTTTAACTGAACGGTTTCTACTTTATTATCAATGTCAAAGTTTCGTATATTTAGTACCGAACCACTGAAAGTTTCGTAGACACTCTTGAGGTTTGGAATCTTTTCCACAAACCGACTGACATTTTTATTCACGATCCAAAGTTTTCATACTATTTCTACGGAACTTTTCCACACTTTCTAGTGTGCTTTAAGGTTTTGTAAAATACCGAGCGAACCAGCGTTCGTTTCGTAGACTATCTGAAGATTTCATAGTTTTTCCCCTTAACTTTTCACCGGTTTATTATCTATGTCAAACTTTCTGGTAGCTTATCGGGGTCGCTGAGTCAAAATTCGTTATTAGTTTTCCCCTCCAATGCTTCATGGCGGAGAAAATCGGTCGATCTGGAGTCCAAATTTCACATGGTAGACTTTTAATTTCAACTCTGATCTCAATTCTGGAGTGAGTTTAATGGAATGAAAGAGAATCATTTTTTTCTTCGTTATTGAGTCGCTCATATAGAAGGTTTCAGGTAAATTTCATTTCGTAAAATAACAAAAATTGGTTTTGTTTAATTATAGAAGGCCGCAAAGATGTAATTTCAGGTAAGTTTGATCGTGTATAATTTAATTTATTTGATTTGTTTTTTGTTCTAGGTTGATGCTCAAACACAGTTTTAGGTAAGTTCTCTCTTAGCGAATCGAAGAATTATTCTTTTTTCTAATTCTAGGTCAATTTAGAGATGGCGTTTTAGGTAAGTCTGATTTTACCTAATAATACATTTTCACTAATTTGTTTATTTTAGATTGTTTCAAGTAAAAGAATAGTGAAGTAAGTTTGATCTTATAAAATGATTATATTTATTCGTTTCTGTATTTTAGGTTGTTTCAATTATGGAAATCAGGGGTGGAGTTGGCTTTTATCGTCTGGTGCCATCCGCGGTGTGCACACTATTCGAGTATTTCTCAAAAACCGAGTACAGTATACATCAAATGAATCAAAAGTAAGATGAAATAGTCTATAGAATGATTTTGCTTAGAAAATTACTCTATAGACTATTTCATCTTACTTTTGATTCATTTGATGTATATCGTACTCAGGTTTTGAGAAATACTCGGACAGTGTGCATACCGCGGGCGGCAGCAGAGGTTGAAATGAAATTTTTGATTGGAGAGACGATTTGGAAGAAGGTTTAGTGCATATAGTTTTGTACGAAACCTTTTTTGGGTACGAAACCTTTTTTTTGAATGATTTTTAAAAGGTTTTATACGGAACCATTGCTACGAAACCCTTTTTTTGAATTATCGTAGAAAGTGTTGGTACGAAACCTCACTTTTTGCAAAACCAAAAAAGGATCTTTCGGTGTACCCAGAATAAGATCCTTTTTAGGTTCTGTAAAAAACCTATTTTTTTAGAGTGTATTCAGTCAAGTTTCTTCTTTCATATTTCCCTATTATAACCGAGCAACATCTTTTACATATAGAAATAATATTAAATTAAATAATCCGTAAGTTCCCATGGGCGATTTTTTGCCAATTGGCAGAGATGTCTGTAACATACTGCCAATTGTCAGAACGCCACTGGCAGAAAGGGGAATTGGCAGAGTGACATAGATCCGGTCAACCCTATCCCTGTAAGATATTGTTTGAGGTTAGCTAAGTTTATGCATCTGCTTTCCTATTGGACGAGCGAACGAACGAACTTACGAACGAACGCATTTAACTCGTTTTCCTTAATACCGTCATTTCAGTAGAGGGAACATTGGAAATTTTAAAATTGCGTTTTAAATTTGACTATATAATTGATGAACGAAGTGTCATTCACTTGATAAGTCATCGATTCATCCAGATGACTTATTATCATCATTTCAAGCACCTCTCTGATGAGACGATCAATCTGTAATGTTTTTCACGAATGAATTTTATAAAACCTATACAATCATATCACCATAATATGACTGCCAAACTTTTAATTGTTCATTAACGAATGAATTTTTAAATTATCGATTAAATAATCGAAAAGAAGAATTTAAAATGCCACGAATTAAACAAATATTTCTAAATGATAAACAACAACCTGAGTATACTGATCGATTCTTTCAAATGTTGAAATCTATCTTTATCAATCTTCAGATATTAGAAATTCGTTCTAGTTTTCATCTTATTGATAATAATAATAACAAAAATACTTGGAAAGAAGATGGAAAACCATCGACTGTTCATATTTTGATCATAATCAATAGCCAAGATGATCCAGTAGTGTCATACTTGAAAACTTGAATTCAAGTATTCAACTATTCAAGTATTCCCCTTGTGTGTGTGCTCCGTAGCCTTTGTCTCTTTCCCACACACTCGCCCTAACATCTGCCCCCATAATGAAATATGATGAATTCTGCTCAAAATAATAAAAGTTTTAAATAATTATTTAATAGTAACTGATATAATATCTCATGTGTTTTTAGTTAGACTCGTTCATAGTGTTGGACGCATGATATCACCGACATTTATTGTTATATTAGAACAATTATTGTTTATTTAAATCATTAAAAGCAAGTTAAATTAAAAAAATTTAAATAAAATGGATATTGTGTGTCCCACAAATATATACGTTGATGGTTCAAAAATCATGTTTGATACCAAGAAAACTAAAGTAAATCAAAAGATATTTGAAATAATTCAAGTGATTACGAAATTACTTTGTATGCTAGCTGATGTATGTTGTTTATTTATCATTTTAAAAAACTTTTTAAATAATTGCAAATATTGGCGACTTCTTCTTTATTTGATACCCACGACAAATGGGTTTCACGATGCATTTCAATTACTCGAATACATTTATGACTCAGTAATGTATCTAGGCAATTGAACGCTGAATTAACGTAGTATTCAGCTAATGCTAGTTGATATCGCAGCCGATCGTCCTTATCCACCGTACTGGCTTTAAACAATACAATATTTATCTTCATATTGGCTATATTTAAACCAAACGACTCGTTTTCTATATGTGGCAAATATGAATGGTTTATTTCATCAATCATGTCCACGTCATGCGTTTTGCCAATTTCCAAAGAAGCTTTGTTCGCGTTAAAGTACGAGTCAATCATAAATATATTATCGATTCGCTCTCCAGCATTATTTAATTGGCGAGAAATTTCAAATGCTAAGATGCCACCAAAACTCCAACCCAAAAAGTTATACGGACCCTTGGATTGAATTAGTTTGATATATTTTATATATAAACGAGCTAGTGTTTCGTATGATAAGCCTTTTTCCAAATTTTTTACTTTAAGATTATAATAATAATTGTTAAATAATACCAGCTTATATGTTGATAAATGCTGAACAATATTATTGAAGTAGCTCTCAGCACCACCACCACCAGGCGGCAAGACAAACAAAATATTAGTGGCATCAGCATTTAGTAAAACAAATGGATGCTCGAAATCGTTTGAATAATCTATTTCAATAAGTGGCTTAGTAGTAAAGCAGTCGCGAATGATATCTTCGAGCTTTGATTTAAATGAATTGGCAAGTTGTGCTGTTCTGTCCGAGTTCAGCCTGCTCGTGATGTTGAATCGTATTTGCCCTTTCATGCAACGTCCGTTCACAGCGATAACGTCATTACCAAAAGCATCCTCCGCACGTTCGGCTCCGACAATGCCATCCGTTAAATACCATCGTCTATTCTTACCACTATTCATTGCTCTAGTCAACGGTGCTGCTTCGAACTGTCCAAGATAATTGAAGCTAACTCGTGGCAAGTCTTGTTCTTTGTAGCCAATGATTGTACCATAGCCAATACCCTTATTGGGCACTTGCATCAAATGCGCTTTGATATTCATGATACTGCGCATGAGATCATCATCACTTTCGAGAAGAACTGGATACATCGTTGTAAACCAACCCACAGTTCGACTAATATCCATATTGTCGTCACCAATATCTTCACGACCGTGGCCTTCTAATGTCACATAGTTAATTCGATTTCCTGTTAGTTCTTTTAGGGCATAACTGAGCGCAGTAAGCAGCAGCCCGTTGATATTTGAGCCATAAGCATGTGGGCAGTCTCTCAAAAGGCTGCATGTTTGTATTGTATTGAGTGTGATACTAGTCGCATTCGTTGCCAGTCTATTAGCAGATGTTCCACTGTGCTTACTTAAATTATCATTAAAATAGCACACATTTCTCACAAGATTACGCCAATAAACGCCCTCAGTCATTGATTTACGTGTTCCATACGACTGAACACATCGTGACCATTCCCCGTAGCTACTACCTTTTTTGCCCAAATTTGACGAACCGTCATATAGGCGTCGCAGATCATCGCAGATAATTCGCCAACTCACTGTATCCACGATTAAATGATGCATTGCGAACCACACTTGTGCTTTCTCCTGCGCAAAACCACTCAGATAGCCAACAGCCCATAGTGGTCCCTTCTCAATATCAAATCGACTCTGCCACTTAGTTAAAATGTTGCGCAATAATATCTCACAATTCTGACTTTGTCCTAGACTACTCACGTCCAAATGATTGAACGGCAAAATAATTGGAATATTTATTGAATCATCATAGTACTGCAAGTATTTCATGTCACCAACCCGCTTAAACCTCAACTTGAACGCATCGTGATATTCCATCAACTTGATCAAAGAATCCTTCAGTCTGTCCTGATCCAGAATTGGTGTTTGAATTAGGAATGCTTGATTCCAATGATGCATTCCTGCCGAATACTTCATAAAGAACCATTCTTGTATTGGCAACAGAGGGACTTCGCCATTCAACACCTCCTGTTCATAACAATGCATGTCACACAGTTTCCTGATTTTCTGATTGCAATTTTTCTTGAAAACGTTCTGGCAAAAGCTTTCGATAGTCCTGCATTCAAAAACATCTTTCACCGGCACATGTGAGTCTAGATCCTTCTCAATTCGGCCAACAATTTGCAGTGAGCCTATGCTATCACCGCCAAGTCGGAAGAAGTCATCCGTTATACCAACCTTTTCAATTCCGAGTATATCCGACCATATTTCACAAAGCTTGACTTCTAATTCGTTTCTAGGCGCACAGTAAGCGTTTTCATCAATAGAAAAA